ATGACATCGTGAGCCCTTTTGACTTCAATGGAGGATTAGCATCTCCCATGTCTCAAGCTTCTCTCGTTACCGATCAACCTGGTGTGCTCTGATACCAAATAAAGTCGATTAAGATCAAACGTGTACAAAGAACTTTCTCTCTTTATTATCTTGTCTTAGAAATATAGCTCAAAAACTAAGACAACCTTTCTCTCAATCGTTATATCAATACCACATCTCGGTATCAATATATATATTAGAGATTTCCTATTTCTAATAGTTATAGATAACTCCTAATACTACTAGACTTTATGTTTGTGCTTATCTTGTCCTTTAACCAACTTGTTAAGGATATCTTGACCTCCAAGTAAACCAAAGCTTACCCAACAGAGACTCCGGAAAAGTCTTCGGTCCCTACACCTTCTAAGCTAGCAATTCCACTCCGCTCACAGATTCGCATCAGATACATTCTACTCCTTGGTTAGAGACTTAGCTAGAGATTGATTTCACCATCCCTATGTTAGCAGCCGCAAATGATGCGCCTTCTCAGTCACCTATTATGGAAGTCATTCCATTACAATATATCATTTCGGAAAACATTTGTATTTCGGAACATAAGCAACCAATTGATTTCCCACTCACAACCCTCAACAATTCCATATGGAGCTGGAGTTTCCGTTTACTTATGAAAAAAAATAATTGGTTTTGATGTGATTGGAGAGACTAAAGTTATAACCTAACTAGAGACGGACGAGAAATCAAACCAACACAAAGATTCAAGATATGGAATAGAAAATTGTTAGCAGAAGAGGTAAAAAAGGTTGTCGTGGCCAAGGGAATCATAAATATATATATCATTATATTATATTATTATCTCTATAATATTATTTGAGAAGTTACTTTTTTAGGTGTCGTGCTCACGTTAACTCTCACGCTGGTTGATTACTATGATACCCCTATCATTAAAATTATCTCTATAATATTATTTGAGAAGTCACTTTCTTAGGTGTCGCGCTCACGTTAACTTTCACGCTGGTTGATTACTATGATACCCCTAATGAATTAAAAATACAATTAAATATTATTTCCTTTTTAAAAATTTCCAAATAACAATATAAAATAAAAAGAAAACATTTGAAATTTACAAAACTATTTAAAAACAAAAATATAAGTATATATAATATGGTTTAATAAAAAAAGGAAAGTTCACAAAATAGTAATAATTAATTTAAATAACATAAAATATACCTTTGAAGTAATAAAATACTTTATATCTATATCTTCTTAGATAAAAAAAACAATATCTGTATATAATGAGATTTCATAAAAAAAATTTCACTCAAAAAATATTGCTATTAGAAAAAGAAATATTTTTTCCTTAAAAAAATAATTTTAAACAGTAAAATATATATATCTTCAAAATAATTATTTTTGTATATATCTATCTATTTTGTTAGATGATTACATAAAATAATCAACTAACATAAACTGATATATGTTTAACTGGCATTTTTTTATAATTAGTATTATTGAAATTATTTTTTCAGTATATTTATTTGACTATAATATCTTACAATTACAGTAAAAATATAAATTCTATTTTAGTTATATAGTATAATTTCTCAAAAAACAATCACTTTTTACTGCCTATTTTAAGATATACTAAAAACAAAACTAAAAATAAATTTAATGATAAACATCTTTTGATCAAGTAACTACAATTATTTTAAAATATCATAACACTATATAATTTAACGAGTTAGATATATTATATTTTAATAGTTAAAATTATATGTTCTAAGAATAAGGATTCTGATTTACTTAAGTATTTTGATTATGGTTATATTAAGTTTCACAAACATAAGAACAGAAAATAACTACAACTATTTTAAAATACCATAACACTATATAATTTAACGAGGTAGATGTATTATATTTTAATAGTTAAAATTATCTGTTTTCTTAATAATCTTTTGATTTTTAATTTTTTTGTCTTTATGTTTGTGAAAATTAATATAATCATAGTCAAATACTTAAGAAAATCAGAATCCTTATTTTTAAAATTATTTAAAATAAATTTTAGTTTACCATCCAAACAATCTAAAGCATAAATTTATTTAGAATTTATAAAATATTTTAACTATTGTAAATATTGATATGTGTTCAAAATCTTCTAAAAATTCATTAGTTACTTGTGTATGTAATTTAGAATTAGAAACTTTAGTTTTTATTTTTTTTCCTTCTAAGCACAAAAAAATCTTAAGTTATATATAATCTTACTAAATATACTTATATTTCTTAGATAACAACCAGCATAAATGCAAATAAGACAATTAAACAAAAATTTAATATTTTAAAATATAAAAGATAATAGTTGAATTCAGAGAAATAGATAGAATCCAATATATCTAAATGATAACTAAATCGACCATAAAAACAATAAAACAGACTAAATATAACATATCTAAAATTATATATATAATTAAAGTAATATAATATTATAATATAAATTAGACATACAAACTATAAATTAATTTAAAAATTAAAGTAAATATCAATCAGTTATTATTGTATATTTATTTTATAAATATACATGCCCGTGCATGAGCACGGGAAAATCACCTAGTATTTAAATATTATTATTTCCTTTTTAAAATCTTCCAAATAACAATATGAAATAAAAAGGAAATATTTATAAAACTTACAAAACTATTTAAAACGAAAAATAAGTATATATATAATATGGTTTCATAGAAAAAGGAAAGTTTACAAAATAGTAATATTTAACTTAAATATATTTTTAAATAACAGAAATTATATTTTTAAGTAATAAAATACTTTATATCTATATCTTATGAAAAAAATATTTTTATATAATGTGTTTTCATTAAAAAAGTTCATACAAATAATCTTGATATTAGAAAGAAATATTTTTCCTTAAAAAATAATTTAAAAAATAAAATATATATTTTCAAATTAATTATTTTTTGATATATCTATCTATTTTATTAGATGATTACATAAAATAATTAAGTAACATAAACTGATATATGTTTAATTGACAAAAAAATATAATTAGTATTATTGAAATATTGTTTTAGTATATTTATTTGATTATATTATCTTACAATTACAGCAAAAATTATAAATTATATTTTACTTATATAATATAATTTCTCAAAAAATCACATTTTTACTGTATATTTTAATAGATGTTAAAAACAAAACTAAAAATAAATTTCATAATAAACACCTTTTGATCAAATAACTACAATTCTTTTAATATATCATAACACTATAATATAACAAGGTAGATATATTATAATTAATAGTTAAAATTATCTGTTTTCTTAATAACTCTTTTGATGTTTAATTTTCTGTTTTTATGTTTGTGGAATTTAATATTACCATAATCTAATATTTAAAGCAAATCGGAATTCTTTATTTTTAAAATTATTTTTAAAAAAATTTCAGTTTATCATCCAATCAATCTATGGCATAAATTATTTAGAATTTATAAAATATTTTAATTATTGTAAATATTGATATGTGTTCATAAGCTTTCAAAAATTTATTATTACTTATGTAATTTAGAATCAGACACTTTAGTTTTTATTTTTTCGTTCTAAGCACAAAAAATCTTAAAATACATAATCTTAGTAATATATACTTATTTCGTCGATAACAACCAATATAAATGTAAATAAAATAATTAATCAAAAATTTAAAATATTTAGAATAAAAAATATTATAGTTGAATTCATAGAAATAGAAAGAATCCAATATATATATATATATATATATATATATATATCCAACTGATAAAACTGACTAAATATAATATGTATAAAATTATAATAACTAAAATAATATAATATTATTAATACAAATTATACATACAAACTATAAACTAATATAAAATTTAAAGTAAATATCAATCATCTATTATAATATATTTATTTCTTAAATATTTAAGCCCGTGCATGAGCACGGGAAAATCACCTAGTATTCTTTTAATTTGAAAGTAATTACGTATTATAATTTTTTTTTTAATTTTCAATTATATACAATTAAATTTTTTACTTAATTAATATTTATTTATGTGTTTTATTTTTTTGAAATTTTTTTATTAAATATATTTTCTGGATAACAACACAGAAATTATTTTTTTTATTTTTAAATATATATTTAGATTATGGATAATTCTTATCATTATTATTAACTTAAATCATTTATCTAATCAAATAAATATTAAATTTGTTTTATTATTGGCTGATTTATATATTTATTCATTAAGGGTAATATCGATATTAGCCACTCTAACTTTTAACGTGAGAGCTCCGTTACGAAAAATCACTTCGCAAATATTAGTATAGACTAGAGGCGGAAGAGAAATCAAACCAACACAAAGATTCAAGATATGGAATAGAAAATTGTTAGCAGAAGAGGTAAAAAAGGTTGTCGTGGCCAAGGGAATCACATCAACTAATCAGTGTCTTTCTGTTTCTTTCCTAATTTATGATTCAATTGTCGATTTTCTTCTAGGGTTACTATAACTATACGCTTGCATTGCAAGCTTTTCCAAACTTATGAGCTAAAATTCATTCTTGTAGTTCTTTTTTCTTTTTTTTTTGAAACACACTTTTAGTTGTAGTTCTTATGCAATTTAGTTGAAAAGTTTTTTCAAAAAAAAAAAAAATTACAAATGTGGGGCAAACGACGACGCATGGACCCCGACAAAGATTTAGCCGACACTACATCAAATACTTACACGACGATGGTAAAACACACTCGTGGATCATAGGCGGTGCATCTCATCATATACTTCGAAAAGAAGAAATACACAAACCAACGTCTATCTTCATATATAAATACACATAAAACTGGTCCAACAATTGTTAACTTCTCTAAGAGAGAACAAAGACAGGAGAAGAGATATGTCGTCGTCAAGGGAGCTACAATACTTGGAATCCACATATAGAAACAATTGTCCCACGACGGGTCTGCTCAACTCCATCTTCATGACTACCGTCAACACCGCCGCTCGTTCTCTTGTCTCCGTTGCCACCACCGCCTCCACACCAGAGTTGTCTTCTAGGCGGTGGTCGGCTTCGGACCACATCAGGTTCATGTCTATGATGATGGCGTGGCTTTCCCTTTGGGTTCTTAGGGTTTTCTTGGACTATTTTCCTCTTCCTCTCATCTCTTCTTCTTCTTCTGCTGCTGCTTATTCTGATTCTTATCATCCCTTTAGTTTCGCTTCGGGTCTTCTTACCACGGCGGTGGAGAACGCGTTGGTGCCTGCTTCCGGTCCCTCCCCGTCGTCATCAACGGCGTTGGTGAGGTATTCAGGTTCGGTGGATTCGCGTTTGATGAATTATGATGGTGTTGATGTCCCTTCCGTTAACTCTCTCGGTAGAGCACTTTGTCATGTAAGTTTTAAACATGTAAACTAGATTTTTACCAGCGCAACCGCGCGGGTGTTTGTTTTCGTTTAGTTATCTTGTTTCAATTTTATTTTTAATCCCTAATATGAAAGTCACCTTTTTCTTTCCTTGGGCAGTACCTCCCAACAATTTATAGTTAGTTATATAAACATTTTGTTTTCACTTGTAAATTGGTATATATTATAGTAATCACATATTTATAATATGTATAGTAAATGTTTTTCAAACATAATAATATTATATAATACGTGCTTTAATCAAATAGATTATTTCAAATTTTCTATATTATACATGTTTTTCAAACATGTGTTTGTTTCTTTTTCTATATTTTATTGTTTGTTAGATTAGTATTTCATTTTTAGATAAAGTAATATAAATAGAGCTTAATTAAATATTAGTATACTTTAATTTGCAAAGATAATAAAACTTCGAATAAATTTTTGCTAAAAACTAAACTTATAGCTTCATAAATCAATATTATAAAAAATTTTATTAAAAAAGATTTTTTAAACAATTTATTTTTTAAAACAATATAATTTTAAAAATTTACAGCGAAATAAATTTATCAAGTATATATAGCGTGTAAATTTTGTTAGGGTATATAAATATTCCATATTACGAATCTGTGATTTTTGTTAATAAATTGTGGATGCATTTAACTATTATTGACATATTTCCTTATAAATAATAGAAGATTTCTAAACTTGTATCTATTGACATATTTTGCGTGATTAAGGTGAAATGTGTGGGGTAATTTACTAAAACCAAATTGTTAAGTGTATCTTTGTTATTATAGATATGATTTTTCATAAGATATAATAATGATAAGATTATTAGAGAGTTAATGTAACATGACTTTCTAGTAACAGTCCATTTTTAAAAAAATCACACATGAAGTCAAGTCATGACTTCTGTTTTAATATATAAGATTTTCATTATTTGATGTTATATTAGCATTAACGTTTAAGTATTTTTCTTGGTTTGGTTAACATTTTAAACGTCTACGTTGAGTTCTATTTGATTTTAACGTTCCAACTTGCTTGGGTCAAGTTACAACACCACGAAAATATGTAGACTTGTGTGTTATTGCTTGATTATGTTTGTATAACTCGATCTTTGATTGAATGGAATGATTTTTAAATATTATCATAAACATTTGATTTTTGGACCTTTCTATAATTGGATACTACACGAGGTGCCTAACGTGGACATTTTTATCTCTGTTATTCCACGTGGTCAACATGCATAGTGCCACGTCATAAATGTAAACAAAGAGAGAAGGGGATGAATCATAGGCTCGAGAAGAGTCATAAGACACATCTTAGGTGGTAATTTGTGAGCTTAATTAGTGTATCGATATTAATTAACTAATTATCATATTATATTTAGAAAATGAATTATCTACTACGAGCCACAGAACATTGTTTGTTTAGTTAGATGTGTATGCACATATACAAAAATTTGTCATGTTTGCATAATTCGCTGAACTATATATGGTCCCTGTGATCCTCTTACTAATGGATTTGATTTGCCATTGTATTATCTACGACTACGAGTAGGCACTGGCGCTAATGAACGAGATTCCAGTTACGTCAAGAAAATACCAATATGCCATGGGAATGGCTGAGAAGATCATGGAAGACAACGCCCAGAGCTGCAACGTGGAACTACTCGACGTCAATAGATTAGCCCTGGCGTCTTCTTTTGCACGCACCACCGCGCGTTTGCAGGACTCTTTGAAACGCTCCAAAACCGCAGACGAACCCGTCGGTGGTCTACCCCTGCGTCTGGTCAGCGCCCTCCCTCTAGGAGGCTATGTTGCCACTTACGTGAGAGGGGTGAGCACGTGCATCAGCACGGTCAGGTCCTTGGCGGATATGACCGGTAACTTGTTATCGGGGAGTAGTAGGAGGGAGTCTGCGTTGGTGAGAGCCGGTGGTTTTCAGGAGAATGAGGTTGAACTGGCGGTGGAGAAGCTGGCGGAGGAGCTGTTGTGGTTGACGGAGAAACTTAGGCGTTATGGTGCGGTGGATGAAGGTATTAAACGGTGGAGCTACGCTTCTGGTTTGGCTTCCTTGTCTCTTACGGCTGCTCCTAGGGTTCAAGGCCTCTTGGTTAAGATTTCAGGTAACCTTCCTTCTTGGCATTGTGATTCTTTTTAAAGATAAGTGTCTCGTTCTAAATTAATGTTACGTAGTGGAACTATAAGTTGAATGTAGTTTAGCATTTTTTGATCAAATATATTATTAGTTTTGAATAATTTTGGTTTATTGGTAATAAGTTTTGTTCAAGGTCATTCTAGTCTTTATTTATTTGTATGGTTCATTAATTGCTCACAAATTCTCACTAACGTTTTTGTCTAGCGCTCTTAATTGGAGAGATGGCACGAGACAACACGCAAGTTCCGGGACAAGTGAAGTTCAGGCTCCTTGCAAACTGGTTACCGTTGTTCAGTCACGCAAGGCTTGGGCTAGCGTTTCCAGTTCTGACTGGTTATGAGAGAGTCGAGGTGGAACGAGCTATCGACAAAGCTATCTCGACATTGCCTGCGTTAGACCAAGAGATCTTACTCACAAACTGGCTCCAAGATTTCTCAGTCTCCGCCACTGAGTGGCCTGATCTCACCCCAGCATACGACCGTTGGTGCAACTCAACTCGCCAGTTTGTCATGTAGGCGACCAATATTGTAGTCGTTTTCTTCATGTTCCAAAAAGAAGAACAAACACATGGATGCGTCTCGTGATAAGTTTTTGTATCCAGATATTCATCTTTAGGTAATAAGACTAGTTTATCTAGTCAAAAATTCAGACTTAAAACCCTCTCACTGTATTCCTCGGATCTCAGAGGACCATAGTTCTAAGCTTGGATGCTTTTTTTTTCAGATCGATCGTAACTGTTCTAAAATCCAAAGACTGCGAATATGGAAATAGATGAAACAGATACTAGAATGCAAAACTTGAGAATAACTTAGAGAAAGTTCAATTTATGAGATTGTTCAAAGGATCCAAGCAAATCGGATGATGGTTTTGTTTATAGTGTACAAACAGACAGCTAAGGTAACAAAGTTCTTAGCTTACAATATTTTTCGTGGAGACCTCTCATTTGCTTTGTCCAGATGTGGAAGTTGAAACTTCTGCGCTGCATACCGGGCAAGTCTGCAGAAAATATTTCGTTAGTTTCGGATTGTTAGTCTTTGGTTTGTATGAATGCTAAACAGAGAGTGATGCAATTTCTACAATTGGTTTGTCTAAAAGCTGATAAGTACATAATTGTTCCTAGCTCCCAGGAAAGTTGATGAGATGGTCGCATGCTGTAAATTGTCTTATTAGTATGGTCTAAGCAAGTTCTGTGCTTGCTAGCAACCAAACCCCTCATTTTCGAAAATTTCAATTAACACAATCGGCAAAACCATAAATGCAATCCTTAAACTCAACGAACATGAAACCTATATATGTCTGTCTATTCTAGATTTCTACTGACCATAAAATCCCCTATTGTAATTGTTTGTCAGTTATCAGGTGCTGTGGAGGTTTATATCTATTCTGATCAAAAAGAATGTCGGTAGCACAGCTGACTACGTTAACTGGATCTAACAGGATTCTTATTAGTGTTCTTTTTGAAAAACGTACCTTGTTTATCTTCAACCAGTTATTTATGCACTCCGAGTGGTAAGAATGTTTGCATGGAAGCAGTATCAGGTCATCGTCATTCTCATAGTCTAAACGACATATAACACATCTGCATCAATCATAAAAAGTTAATTACCAAGCTACATGCACGAGATAATCAATGGTATATTAAATTAGTTAAGAAATAGGTTTTACGATTCATTGGTTCCGTTCTGATTGTCTCCATCTTTATATCTTTTTGAAGGCAAAGATGCAATTGTATCAGCAGACAACCCTCTACTCTCGGTTCCCACAATATCGCCAAGCGCAAGCAACTCCTACAAACATTAGCGGAAAGTTATAAGCCAACAGACGTGCCGGGCAACTGAATTTTGCATATTGAAATGCATGACCGATCTGAACACTAGAGTCCTACGTAGTTAACAATAATATTCAGTTTAGCAATAAAACGTTTCACAAAATAACGAGAGGATCCAAAAGGCATAGCACCCATGAATGTGTTTTCATACCTCATATGAAAGCTCATCAGGATCCATCTCATCCCACGCTTCCTGCAAAAATAAAGCATATATACGTGAGTGGAATCAGAATCAAAACACCTCACAGAAGCCTTACTTTATAAGATTCTATACCCTGTAATTATAATATCTAGTTCCTTTTTTCACAATGTAGACCAGACTCTTATCTAATTTCAGTCCACCGCAAGGTCCTATGCTGCAAGGTGTTAGACCACAACTCTCTCCGATTCCATTGACCACTTAACACTACAGATTACAATTGATTTGACCACCAAACATACAGTGTCTAGTGGCACAAAACCGTAAATAACTAGGGAGTGTCTAACTGGTTATGTATGACCTAGTACTAAGGTACCAAGTAACTGCATAGAGTAAGACCGTATCAAATGATTCATGTCATACAATTAGTTTTTACTGGCTCAACTACAAACAATAACCATCTTAAACACACAGGGAGGAGTATCTAAATTGGACTCCCCACTAAAAGAGCTAGAACCACAGAAAAACTGTCACGAAAACAATACAAACTTATGCCATGACAGAAGAATAGTAGATAGATGGAACCATGTTTGACGTATCACTTCAACAATGGCAGGTTCTATGTCATAACTTTGTACTTTAGCCACCACAAGAGTTCATATTGTCAAGCAGAAAAATGTTTACACCCCAAGATCAAAAAGTCATTAGTTGTAGTGTAATGAGCCTACCTGAGAAGTATGATCCTCCTCATCTTCATCTTCCGGATCTTCAACCCCTGCAACCAACAACAGTTAAAGCATAAACCCCAAACCAATTATAAAACTCCCATCAAAGAGAAAACTTGAGTGAAAGCAATAAGTGTACTCACGATTTGCTAACCCAGATAAGGCAGACAACCTATCAGCCATTTCCCTTTCCTCAGCTTCTTGAATAGCTCTCGCAAAGGCTTCATCATCTGAATAACCAACTTCTTCTTCTGCGTCGGCATCTTCTTCTTCTTCATGAGCAGTCACATCTTCCTGAGGATCATCATCTGTTTCATACTCGTCCTCATCGTCATCCTCCTCATCCTCTTCGTATACATAGCTTCCAGTTTCCCAGCTCCCATAGTCACTCACCTCACTGTTCATCGTCAGCATCATATACGCCCGCTCCTGCACATACAAAAACAACGATTCTCAATAATCCACACAATCTTTGAACTATTCTTCGAATCCACAAAGCCCTAACATAATCGAATAACCTAAAATACGGAGAAATCCGAGAAACAAAGAGCCACCTGTTCTTGGAGCGTACGAGCGAGAGCAAGATCGGCATCAATCTGGCTCAGATTAGTGAACGGAACTCTCGCGGAGGAAGATCGGGGAGGTAGCTCTCCCACCGAATCCGATCCGCTCTCGTCAACAGCCACCGCCACAGCCGCCTCCACCGCTTCATCTCCTTTCTCGCTTCCACCTCCGGATTCCGATACGACGCCGGTCTGAAGATTCTCCGGCGAACGTACATCAGTGTCGTTAACCTTGGTCGGTTGCTCGGCGGTGACGACGACGGCTTTGGTAGCGTGGTCATTGTCGTTCTCCATGGGCATGATTGTAAAAGATAGGGTTTTCGAATCGGAGATGGAGGAAGAAAGGAAGGGATTGGTATCGAAAGAGAATGATTCCAAGGAATCTGAGAAAACGATGACACGACGCCGAAGCAGAGACCAGAAAGGGAATATGCAAATAGTGTTTTCTCTCGTATGGCTTTTGATTTCAAATTTTGAAATTATCAATTTTACTTTAAGAACCCTCTATTTTTTTGTTTCTTTTCTAACCTCACCACTATTTTTGTCATTTGAACATCCTCACCCATTTTGTAGGTTGATAAAACATAAACGATTTGATTTCGAGAATGATTTTTTTTTGGAGACAATGATTTTATTATGACTTGAAAACAATAATATTTAATTTTCAACATTGAGAACATAATTATTTTTTTTAAGTTTTAATTATTAGAAGATGCCCACACTACAGTTATCTTTTTTTAGTTATCTTGAAATTTTGATTATTAGCAATGTAATATAATTATCTTGTTGTGGCTTTTTGAAATTATTTTGGCATTTTATTGTAAAAGACTACGAAGGAATCTCTCGAATGTAAATGTATGCATTAATGTTCTTTTCTTTTATTTCCTAATAACAAATTCAGAGTAGTGACAAAAACAATGCAGAGAATGAGATGGGCAAAGGGCAAAGGGCAAAGGGCAAAGGCCTCACGATAATATGTGTAGAAGAATTTGAAAATATGTAGATTTATATAAAATTTATACTTAGAAATCATCATTTTGATTTGACCAAATAGCCATAAGATTCTCACCCAAAAGAATATGTTCAAAATAGAATGGGGGTGATTGGTTGGACTGTAGATGTAGAAATTTTACTGTAGAATTTAGACTGTAAATTTTTTTGATGTAGTTGTAGTTAATTTAGCTGTAGAAATTAAATGAGAAAAATGTAAAAGGAAAGATATTCCTATAGCAATCCTACAACAATATTTTTATGCTTTAAAAAAATAGGATACCTACAACCAATTTTTAAATTTTTTGACTTTAGCTTTAAAAACTACTTAAAGCATGATTGTTGATTTAAATGGTTGTAGATAGAAATTAAAGCTAAAGTTACTACTTACAACCCAACCAATCACCCTCAATATTTAAAATTGGTCTAAAAATTTTAAATTATCCTATATAAAAATACATAATCTTATCATTAATAAGTTTTGTAAAATTTTAATAGAAAACAAATCCGACGCTTTTAAAGCACGAATCAATATTTTTGTAAAAACTCAAGGATCAAAATCTGATACATAGTATTAAACTAACACATAACTTGCTTGTAACACACAACTTTAAAAGTCTCAATACGACTTTAATGAAGTTAAATACTCTATTTTTATAAAAAAATTTTTAGCTTTTCTGTTCTTTTTTTGTAATGAATTAGCTTTTATGTAATATCTTATATATTAAAACAGAAGTCATGACTTGACTTCATGTGTGATTTTTTAAAAAATGAACTATTACTAGAAAGTTATGTTACATTAATTCTCTAATAATCTTATCATTATTATATCTTATGAAAATCATATCTATAATAACAAAGATACGCTTAACAATCTGGTTTTGGTAAATTACCACACACCTTCCAACTTAGTCACGCAAAATATGTCAATAGATATAAATTTAGGAATCTTCCATTATTTATAAGGAAATATGTCAATAATAATTAAATGCATCCACAATATATTAACAAAAATCACAGATTAGTAATATGGAATATTTATATACCCTAACAAAATTTACCCGCTATATATTAGACAAAATTTATTTCGATGTAAGTTTTTAAAATTATATTGTTTTAGAAAAAGAAAATTTTCAAAAAAAATCTTTATAATATTAATTTATGAAGTTATAAGTTTAGTTTTTAGCAAAAATTTCTTAGAATTTTATATTATCTTTACAAATTAAAGTATACTAATATTTAATTAATCTCTATTTATATTACTTTATCTAAAAATGAAATACTAATCTAATAAACAATAAAATATAGAAGAAGAAACAAACACATGTTTAGAAAACATGTATAATATAGAAAATTTGAAACAATCTATTTGATTAAAACACTTATTATATAATATTATATTATGTTTGAAAAAATTTACTATACATATCGTATATATGTGATTACTATAATATATACCAATTTATGAGTGAAAACAAAATGTTTATATAACTAACTATAAACGAAAACAACCACCCGCGCGGTTGCGCGGGTCAAAATCTAGTTTATTATATTAAAAGAGAAGTCACAACTTCTCTTCATGTGTGATTTTTTAAAAATGGACCCTTCCTTAGAAAAGTTGTAACCTTATCTTTTGTATTTGTATAATAAAATCTTAACAACCATATTTAATTTACATTTTCATTCTCTTAAAACATAAGAACATCTTAAAACTAACAATACATTTATATAAACATTAAAAATATATATTCATAAAATAAATAACATATGTATATAAAATTTAAAGTAATACCGTGCGGTTGCGCGGGTAAAGATCTAGTATTAAATTTAAAATTGTATTCATAAACCAAAATCTAGATATGAAAACTAAGACACCAAATGTTAAAGAACCAGATAAATGTTACAGTTTGAATGTAATCAATTTTTATGGAAAATTCTGTGCCAGCAATATAGTGTTTATTAATAATAAGTGTTTTTAACTTACCAAAATGAATAAATCGTTCTTGTAATTAGTTTCCTCATGACGTCATTAAATGAAGTGTTTTCTGTACTATACATGAAACAAAATTTCTGTTATTTTTACATTGTTAAATTAATAGATTTGAAAAGGATGACAGCTTATAAATAAAATATTAAGAAAATGACACTTATAAAGTAAAAATCCCTAAACTAGAGAAAGAACTTCATTCTCACCAGAAAGAGTTCCGATGACGATGATGTGCGGTTACATTCGATTGCTCAAGGAAGGAGTGTATACCTTCCAAATTTCAGTTAGAAGTCCAAAAAAGTCAGTTGGCGGTTAGTTTTCTTCTTTTTCCCCCATTATAAATCACTGACTCAATAAAAAAAACAATCGCTCTCAAAGTTTTCTCTCTCAGTTCAATGGCGGGACCTGAAGAACCTCTGATTCCTAAAGTCCAAAGCAAGAGACGATGTAACTACTATAATCTCCAGGATATTCATCTGGATCATAGTAAGCTCCTTCATCTTCTTCTATCGTTTTCTAATTACGTAATTGCTATGTCGTTCGTTGTTACCTGAATCACTTACATTCGTTTAGGTTTTGTGTGTTGTATATGTCGTTCGTTGTTACCTGAATCACTTACATTCGTGTAGGTTTTGTGTGTTGTATATGTCGTTCGTTGTTACCTGAATCGCTTACATTCGTTTAGGTTTTGTGTGTTGTATATCAGTATATGTCGTTCGTTGTTACGTGAATCAATTACATTCGTTTAGATTTTGTGTGTTGTATATGAGATCATAGTAAGCTCCTTTGTCTTCTTCGATCGTTCTGATTTACGTAATTGCTATGTCGTTCAAACCATGAGTTTAGTCAAAATGATATCTATTCTTTTGTTTGTGGTTGTTAGAGGAGGTTGGTGATTTGGTTCTTGAATCAAAAACTAAGTGGCTCTCTGATGAGGTGTTGGTTATTTGGGTTGTAACCCAGAAATTTGTGAATTATATACTTGGATAATGATTGAATCGCGCACGAGGTCACTTTCCTTAAAGAGTATTTCGACCCTATTCCAAGCCTTTGGGTTACACGAAATCCCTTTGTAGGATAAGACAATCAAAGTCACATTCTTGTTCTAGGCTAAGATACAAGAATAAAAAATAGAGTTTTAATGCTTATATGTGTTTCTTCAAAGATCTTTGATGATCTTTGAACAATAAATCTATTTCTCTCTTACTCTCTTACTAACTATTAGTTTCTGATTTTTGTCTCTATCTACTTTGCCAATGCCTACATCTCTTTATATAGAGAGTGAAAGGTTGCAACCAATGGTTGCAATGGTTAATCCAAAAGATGCAATGGTTAATACTAATAGTTGCAATGGTTAATGAAGAGTTGCAATTGTTAATACCAACAATTGCAATGGTTAGTAAAGAGTTACAATGGTTAATCATCAAGGGTTGCAATCACTAATATGGTTAATCATCAAAGGTTGCAAATATTAATATGGTTATCACCAAATGTTGCAATTATTAATATGGTTATTACCAAAGGTTGTAATTATCGATAGTTGCAAGCTTTTATTCATGTAGTTGCAATTATTCACATAAACAATTGCAATGGTTCATTGCACCCTTTCAATTAAACCCTTTCACTTAAATATATAACAATCCTCCCCTATTTAAGTGAAATAATAGATTTATTAAATAAATAATACATATATCAAACTCATGCATAAATGAAAATGTTCGAAGAATTGAATTTTCATCTTAGTGTAATACACATTCCAAATGCCCGAGAATCAGGATGTCCTACGGATTGAATCCCTCAACCCATTTTG